TTCCACCTCCTGATGCTTTGGACTACTTCCTTTTCCTTTTCTCCACCACCCCACTTTCACTGTGAAGTAAAGTGCTTTAACTTACTTGAGCTAGTAATTCTGAAGTTCTAGTCGTAAGCAGCAGGTGCTTGGTTCAAAGAGAATTTTTCCATCATTGACTGTCTGGGAGCATCAGCAGCACCTCCCTCCCTCCCTCCCACACACCCCAGCACCTTTGATCCTTTGCCACTTGCACTTGTGGGTTTCACATTTGACTTGATGTTTCTTTCCAAGATGTGTCATTCCTCTCCCCCCCCCCCCCGCTTTGCTAATGCATCTTCCTTTTGTAAGATTGTCAGATTTGAGCCTTTCGCTTCTATACAAATCACAGCAAAAAATGGTTGGCATTTATTGCCTTCAAGGATGCTACAGACCTCATTTTACTTCAACTATCAATAAAAGGCCACTATGATGTGTGAACACACTGGAGTAAAATACTCCCAAATAACAACAACAACAACAACAACAACTTTTTATTTGTACTCCACCCTCCCTGGTGTACCCCAGTGTTACGTTCACCACCCTCTACACGACATGTTTTTTGCTCTGTGTGCTGCTTCAGGTCCAGCCAGTGTCAGCCAAGGATGTGCAGTGTAGGTGAGGAAACCCCTCTCCAGCAACTGCAGGACTCTACAGAGCAGCACAGCCGCTGCCTCATCCACAGTCCTGCTGCTTAGGGTGGGAAGACCATTTTGCGGTACCAGCTCCCGGGCAGCAGAGGCACAGATCAGGCCTGTTGTCATCAGATGACAGCTCTGCATCCAGGTGATTCAATGCTGCCTCCCCATCCTGTTTCTGGGGTTTCCATTCGTTACCAATGACAAGGATCCTCCCACGTTATCTTCCATCTGCCTGCCATTTGGGGGGCTGCACTGGGGTGCTCTTCACTAGCAGGGTTTCCCGGCTGGTAGGCTTTTTCTTTCTTTGGCGATCACTCGTAGCCGAGTAAGATTGTCTTCCATAAACATGGTTTTAACAATGGGTCCATAAGTGACTGTGGAGGCCAATTCTGGATCCACACGTCCTTCCACAGTGGGGACATTGGTTCCCGGGTGGGAGTTGATCACGGTGTGGATTTGCCAAGTGTGTCTTCCTCTTAGCATGTTTCTCCCTTGCATCCTGAGTTCGAGTGTCTTCAAAGCCCATGACACCTTTGGTAAAGGCTGTTCTCCAACTGGAGCACTTGCAGGCCAGTGTTTCCTAGTAGTCAGTGTTTATACTACATTTTTTTAGATTTGCCTTGAGACAGTCTTTAAACCTCTTTTGTTGGCCACCAACATTACGCTTTCCATTTTTAAGTTTGGAATAGAGTAGTTGCTTTGGAAGACAATCATCAGGCATCCGCACAACATGACCAGTCCAACTAAGTTGATGTTGAAGAATCATTGATTCAACACTGGTGATCTTTGCCTGTCTTCCCAAGTGATGTGTAAAAAATTTTGGAGACACCACTGATGGAATCTTTCGAGCGGTTGGAGATGGCATTTATAAGTGGTCCACCTTTCACAAGGATATAGTAAGGGTGGTAGTACAATAGCTTTGTAAACAAGCATTTTGGTAGTACAGCTCTCTTGCCACTGGAGGACAGGATTTCAAGGAAGGACTGGGCAGACAAACACCTCCAAGCCCCCCTGCAGCAAGGTGGACCAGTGGTTTGGATTGTTCTTTAAATGTAGAAACGTTCTGCTGGGTGACATAGTGAGGATATATCAAAAGTACTTCTTTGTTGTCTTCACTGCCACTGAGTAGGCTCACTAATGAACACTTACTTGTGCTGGTTGCATTTGTCTGGAGTTTTTCTTCACTTGTGTCTCCCAGGTGGTTTCAATGTCTTCAGCTCTGCTGTATGCCAAGAAGCCAGTTAAGCTCTATCAAGCGGGAGAGGATGTCACCAACCTGGGCCATCCATGTATTGCACAGATTAACTGGGCTTTTAATAGGACCACGGGTCAAATTACCGTAGCTGGAAAATCCCCCAGAGCCACCTGAATTCATCAGCCCCTGAGGACAGACCATGCTAATAGGTTCTCCATCTCTGTAGAGGTGACAAATCCCCCACTCTCAGAGGGAGACCATATTTAAAGCTAACCTAGCATTCAGTGGTTGCATCGACAGATCTGAGGGCTGGCTGACAGAGCTATCACATTTCCTCTGGTTAGAGGCTGGCACATAGCACAACCATCAATTGTTTGAGTCATGATCCCCTCACTTGGCTTACCCTTCCTCTCTCACCACCCCTCTCCTTACCCAAGATCACTGCAAATGTCTTCCACTCAGCTCTCCCCAGCTGACCTTGTCCTAGGCGCATGGAAGACAATCAAGGCCAGAGCACTTAATAAAGGAAGGGAGATAGTAGTAATGGGGGACTTCAATTACCCGGATATTTGTTGGATGTCAAACTCAGCCAAGAGCATAAGGTCAAACAGATTCCTCACTGGCCTTGCAGACAACTTCATTGTCCAGAAAGTGGGAGAAGCAACAAGAGGAACAGCCATTTTAGATCTGGTCCTAACCAATGTTGATGACCTGGTTAGTGGGGTAGAAGTGGAAGGATCATTAGGCACGAGTGATCATGCTCTTCTGAAGTTTACTATACAGCGGAAAGGAGCAGCCAAGCATACTAGGACTCAATTTCTTGACTTTAAGAAAGCCGACTTCATAAAACTTAGGAAGTGCTGGGTGAGATCCCATGGACTGTAATACTAAAAGGAAAGGGAGTTCATGATGGCTGGGAGTTTGTTAAGAGGAGATAGTAAAAGCACAACTTCAGGCAATACCAATGAGACGGAAACATGGAAGGTGCCTAAAGAAGCCAGGGTGGCTATCTAAAGAACTTTTAACTGAGTTAAGATTAAAAAGGATGTGTACAAAAATGTAAAAGGGGTGAAACCACCAAAGAGGAATTCAAACAAATAGCCAGCACGTGTAGACACAAAGTCAGAAAAGCTAAAGCACAGAAGGAACTCAGGCTTGCTAGAGAGGTTAAAAGCAACAAAAAAGGCTTTTACGGGTATGTTCGTAGCAAAAGGAAGAACAAAGAAACAGTGGGGTCACTCAGAGGAGAAGATGGTGAAATGCAAACAGGGGACACAGAAAGGGCTGAACTCCTCAATGCCTTCTTTGCCTCAGTCTTCTCCGATAAAGAAAACAATGCCCGACCTGAAGAATTTGGAGCAAATGATTCAGCAGAGGAAACACAGCCCAGAATAACTAAGGAGATAGTACAAGAATACTTGGCTAGTCTAGATGTATTCAAGTCTCCAGGGCCAGATGAACTGCATCCAAGAGTATTAAAAGAACTGGCAGATGTGATCTCAGAACCACTGGCAGTCATCTTTGAGAATTCCTGGAGAACAGGCGAAGTCCCGGCAGACTGGAGGAGGGCAAATGTTGTCCCTATTTTCAAAAAGGGGAAAAGAGAGGACCCAAATAATTACCGCCCAGTCAGTCTGACATCAATACCAGGGAAGATTCTGGAGCAGATCATTAAGCAAACAGTCTGTGAGCACCTAGAAAGGAATGCTGTGATCACCAATAGTCAGCATGGATTTCTGAAAAATAAGTCATGTCAGACTAACCTGATCTCATTTTTTGACAGAATTACAAGCCTAGTAGATGAAGGGAATGCAGTGGATGTAGCCTACCTTGATTTCAGCAAGGCATTTGACAAGGTGCCCCATGATATTATTGTAAAGAAGCTGGTAAAATGCGGTCTTGACTATGCTACCACTCAGTGGATTTGTAAGTGGCTGACTGACCGAACCCAAAGGGTGCTCATCAATAGTTCCTCTTCATCCTGGAGAAGAGTGACTAGTGGGGTGCCACAGGGTTCTGTCTTGGGCCCGGTCTTATTCAACATCTTTATCAACGACTTGGATGATGGACTCAAGGGCATCCTGATCAAATTTGCAGATGACACCAAACTGGGAGGGGTGGCTAACACCCCAGAGGACAGGATCACACTTCAAAACGACCTTGACAGATTAGAGAACTGGGCAAAAACAAACAAGATGAATTTTAATAGGGAGAAATGTAAGTATTGCACTTGGGCAAAAAAAAGGAGAGGCACAAATACAAGATGGGTGACACCTGGCTTGAGAGCAGTACATGTGAAAAGGATCTAGGAGTCTTGGTTGACCACAAACTTGACATGAGCCAACATGTGACGCGGCAGCTAAAAAGCCAATGCAATTCTGGGCTTCATCAATAGGAGTATAGCATCTAGATCAAGGGAAGTAATAGTGCCACTGTATTCTGCTCTGGTCAGACCTCACCTGGAGTACTGTGTCCAGTTCTGGGCACCACAGTTCAAGAAGGACACTGACAAACTGGAACGTGTCCAGAGGAGGGCAACCAAAATGGTCAAAGGCCTGGAAACGATGCCTTATGAGGAACGGCTAAGGGAGCTGGGCATGTTTAGCCTGGAGAAGAGGAGGTTAAGGGGTGATATGATAGCCATGTTCAAATATATAAAAGGATGTCACATAGAGGAGGGAGAAAGGTTGTTTTTCTGCTGCTCCAGAGAAGCGGACACAGAGCAATGGATCCAAACTACAAGAAAGAAGATTCCACCTAAACATTAGGAAGAACTTCCTGACAGTAAGAGCTGTTCAACAGTGGAATTTGCTGCCAAGGAGTGTGGTGGAGTCTCCTTCTTTGGAGGTCTTTAAGCAGAGGCTTGACAACCATATGTCAGGAGTGCTCTGATGGTGTTTCCTGCTTGGCAGGGGGTTGGACTCGATGGCCCTTGTGGTCTCTTCCAACTCTATGATTCTATGATTCTAATGGAGTGGAAGAACTTGCCCGTGTGTGTGTGTGTGCCATTCTTTCTGGCAATGCTGTGTCTCTTGAAACGTGTCTCTCCATCTATAATAAATTTCTGTATAGTTCACAGTTAACACATGGCCAAAATAGCTCAACTGAGAAAGCATTAGACTGAAGATCAGTAACTTCCTTTCAAAGGATAGCTCAGTTGGTAGAGCATGAGACTCTTAATACCAGGATAGTGGGTTCAAACACCATGTTGGGCAAAAGATTCCTGCATTGTAGAGGTTGAACTTGATGATCCTCATGGTCCCTTGCAACTCTTCCATGATTCTGTGACAGATGAGGCACATCTCTTAAGATATCTCTTAATATAAACTCTGGATATAACACCTGTTTTGCCCAAGGTTTAAAACATGTGAAAGAGTTTGGAGAACATTGTCTACATATATATTCTTTCTCAATTCAGTATTAGATAATACAAGTCAGATATGTAAGAAATTGTTGCAGCATGGAGTGCTCTTGTTCCCTGTGCTTGTTATTGACCTCATTTGAAAGAAACAGATGCTGAATTGTTGTATGTGCCATGTGGCTTGGTCTGCTTGGATGAATCATCACAGCAGGATGCACAGACTCCAGGATGTAGCCACAGCTTGCACATCCCATGCTATCCACTTTTCACTAATAAAAGGGTCCCACCAACAGTCTCACACCTTGGAAATCATTGGGGCATCCCATATTGAAGACACTTTTCATGATTTAGCTGTGATGATGCCATGACTTGGAATGCCTGCAGTGACCTATTCAGGAGGGAGCTTGCTAGCACAAGCCTCAGGAAGGCTGGCAGAAGAGACCCCAGACACGCTACTTCAGGGTCTTGACAATAAGCCTCTGCCAGTAACCTGGAACTTACTGAATCACACATCCTCAATTTTGAATCCCTAGAGAATGTAGCCCCTGCAAAAGATACCAGAGGGAAGCCAACACCTTTCCCCAAAAGTACCCATGAACATTTGAGCCCGTTTGCCACCACAGGCAATGCACCCCAGCAAGAAACAGAAGGGAAGTGTCAGGCTCCAAGCCAAAGGAATCAAGGAGGCAAAATCTAAGAGGTGTAGTCAGGCCCTGGGAATATATAAGGGCTCAGCGAACACCAAGCACTCACTGGAACAAGCTGCATGGTCCCTAGGACCTGTCCAGGGTTCTGAAGGGCCTTGTCTCTGACCACCTTAGTTTCCTGTTTCCACACTCTCTGCTTTCGAATGGATACACACTCCCTGCCCCCTGGGTTTCCTGTTCTTGCCATAAGCTCCAGACCTGCTTCCCTGAAACTGTTCCACAGGTTCAGCCTCTCCAGGGCTAGGCTTGTGACACTTTTCAGCCTAATAAAATGTGCAAATTGTACCGTGAAACAATAAAACTCAAAGGACGCAAACACTCTCTTCTCTATTAACCCTTTTCGTTGAATTGGAACATGGCTGCCTGCTTGCAGAAAGCCAAGACGTTAAGCAGATGGGGGGAGGAGGAGGAAAATGAAAAGCAGCTCTCACCTCTACAAAAACGTGCAAAGTTCAGAGCCACCCTTCTAACTCAGCAAGCACAGAGCAATGTTTAATGTGAACTCAGATGCCTTTTGCAGATTGCTCTGATTCTCGTGCTGATTTCTACACCAGCTGTCTTCCGCCAGATTCAATGTGCAGGTTTCATTTTAACGCACTGGCTATTCCCTGGTTACCTGCCATATAATGGGATCTTACAGGTGGAGGGCATGTTTGTAATGCTTGTTCATCCACTTGCAGAGGAAAATATCATAAAATAAAATACTTGGGGTGACATTCCTGGATTCAAATACAACCCACTTCCCCAGTTTTCAGATACTGTATCAATCAAAGAATGCCAAGAATTACTTCACCTCATATATATGTACCTGTTGCAGATTATATTCATTTGAAAATTAATTTTTAAACCAGCTGTTATTTTCCCCTAGCGAAATGCACACTGCCATTTCTTTCAGAAAAATGCTGCTATTAAGACTGGTTGCTATGATATATAAAAAGTGTTTAGATCTACCTGGAGTGCTCAGTTCTATTCTGTAGCATTGTAGTTCTATTCCTGCAGCTTTGTCCTGTAATATTTTTTAAATAAAAGAGATAAGGCATATCATGCTGTTCCTGCTTCCTGTGGTTTCTGCGAAGCGGCAATTGAATGACATAATCAGTACTCAGTTCATGGGTGGAATTAAAGAGCTAACCCAAAAGTCACTTCAGGCTAAAGAAGTGAAAGGCAACAGTTCTGAGTGGTGAAATGGCAGGAAATGGAGATGATTTAAAAGATGTAAAGCAGTCTCCATGGGACACAGAGGGACAGTTTGAAAGCCAAAATACACATTACACTGGATGTGCCTAAGGTTATCTGTACTGATGCTGCTGTTTCTACTGTATTACCTATCATGTTTTTGCTTTTGTGATGATGATGAAGATGATGATGATGATAAGCAGTATTTCTACAACTATCAGGTGGCCAAACTGGATACCAAGTCTGCCCCCCCACACCATCACTACAACACAGCACTTTGTGTGACCTGTCAATTATACATGGCACATTTAATCTGAAAAGCCAAGGAGAACATCAATATTTCAGGCAGAGAAATTCTCTCCTCCTTTGTTCACTCTTCGTTGTGGCCTAAAGAGATCTCTGCAGGGTGGACCTATCTATAACTTTAGTACACATACTGTACTTTACAGTTCACATGCTTTGAAGCAAGCATGAACAGGCTCAGTTAAAAACTGGTGACCCTTAAAAGTGTCAGAACACTCTGAATTCAATCTGGAAGATGCAATGCCAGTTTAATTTCTAAAGCATGCTTTTGTGTAGATACTTTGAAGGTTGACCACACACAAAAATAAAAGCAGATCTGGATCAAGAAATGGAAAACATTTTTTAAAAAATGTTTTGAATGGCTATAATGAGACTTGGCTATTTTCACACCTATGGAAATTGTTTTCATGCTATTTAGTACATTCCTATAATAGTGAAGGGAATTGTGTTATTTCACTTGAGTACAAAGATGTAAGAATAGTGAGAAACACCTGTCCTAAAAGTAATGTTATTAATTGCTGTATTTTCTAGCTTGATCAGTGTGTGCAATTATGCAAGGAACATTCATTTGGCTTAATAAAGGAATTACAACATGTGCAAAAGAATGGCCATGTTGGGCAGAACAATGACCCATTTCACAGAACCTTTTGTCTACTGCAAACAGCCAACCAACTGCTAAAAGAAGTTCACAAGCAAGACATAAGAGCCCCAAAATCTAATAACCAAACGAACACTGACCTGGCTTGGATCTAGCACTGAACCATGGTTCAGCATTACAAGAATGAGCCAAACTTCACACTGGTTTGCACTCTTTTGCCCCAGCAGGGCCATGATGAAATCGGCAGCTTTCACTTTCATGTGAGATTAACTTTAGTTAGTTAAGCTTAACTATGGTTACCAAAACAAAGCCAGCTTCATAGACCATGGTGTGAACTTGGCTTGCTTCGACTAACCATAGTTAAATTAACCATAGTATATCTTTCCAAGTTTGGACAACCTAGAAAAATGGAGTTATTCAGAAATAGAAGCAAAAACTTCCAAATGCACTGAAGGAGAAGAGGGAGATGCAACGCATGATCTCCAGGGAGGATGAGGCTTATTCTCATAAACCTAACTCTGCTACAACTGAGGTTTAGTGTTACATCAAAATTCTGGCCCATTTTCTCTGAAAATGAAGGTTGCACTTTTGGCTCAGAAAATAATAGCATATGATACTTCACTAAATTAAAAAACTGTTTCATGCAGAAAAGGCAATCCCAATGGAGTTCTGCCAAACGCACTGACCTAGGGCTCATCCACCCTGGAGTTTAATTTGAAGCTGCTTGTGTCTCGTATTTTTTTATGCCTCACATGACATCCTTCTCATCCAAGTGGCAGCCCATGTTCCCCCACCCCAACACACTAAATTGGGATCTTCCCCACCAACAGATAATCTAGTAAGCAAAGAAAATTCAGTATAAAATTACATGTAATCTGACTGTGGCAGCACTGATGCGCCTATATGGGCAGACATTTATACATGTGTGGTGATGTTTCACTGGCTACCATCTATCACCATACTCCCTGTTTCCTATTTGTTTCCTTTCCCGAAGGTAATGATGTAGCCCACTCTTTCCCACCAATTGCTGATGAAGGCAAGTTTGTAGTATTTTTTTTATTTTTACAACAGCTCTTTTGTGCAGAACTGTGTTTGCAAAAAAACCCAGCTGTATTAAAAATAAAAATATTTTTTGCCCTTGGAGGAACAGGAGGTAAGAAAGGAGAAGGGGAAGAAAGAAACAACAGCTTTTCATATGAGCAACTGCAAATGATATTCTTGTAAAGAAGCTGGTAAAATGCGGTCTTGACTATGCTACCACTCAGTGGATTTGTAACTGGCTGACTGACCGAACCCAAAGGGTGCTCATCAATGGTTCCTCTTCTTCCTGGAGAAGAGTGACTAGTGGGGTGCCACAGGGTTCTGTCTTGGGCCCGGTCTTATTCAACATCTTTATCAACGACTTGGATGATGGACTCAAGGGCATCCTGATCAAATTTGCAGATGACACCACTGGGAGGGGTGGCTAACACCCCCGAGGACAGGATCACACTTCAAAATGACCTTGAGAGATTAGAGAACTGGGCAAAAACAAACAAGATGAATTTTAATAGGGAGAAATGTAAAGTATTGCACTTGGGCAAAAAAAATGAGAGGCACAAATACAAGATGGGTGACACCTGGCTTGAGAGCAGTACATGTGAAAAGGATCTAGGAGTCTTGGTTGACCACAAACTTGACATGAGCCAACAGTGTGACGCGGCAGCTAAAAAGCCAATGCAATTCTGGGCCGCATCAATAGGAGTATAGCATCTAGATCAAGGGAAGTAATAGTACCACTGTATTCTGCTCTGGTCAGACCTCACCTGGAGTACTGTGTCCAGTTCTGGGCACCACAGTTCAAGAAGGACACTGACAAACTGGAACGTGTCCAGAGGAGGGCAACCAAAATGGTCAAAGGCCTGGAAACGATGCCTTATGAGGAACAGCTAAGGGAGCTGGCCATGTTTAGCCTGGAGAAGAGGAGGTTAAGGGGTGATATGATAGCCATGTTCAAATATATAAAAGGATGTCACATAGAGGAGGGAGAAAGGTTGTTTTCTGCTGCTCCAGAGAAGCGGACACGGAGCA